TACAAGAGGGCAGAGGTAGTCTGGAATAAGGCTGAGTGTATTTACAGACCAAGCCAAAACTAAAAGGCATTTTTGGTTCACCTCGTAAAAAGACCATTGTTTTCAACCTGGGGGAGGGTCACTTCAAAATCCATTCAATTCAGAAAATTGGCAACAACACTATATGAGCACGGTCAGTAGTAGTTAAGGCTGGCAGGAGGGTGCAGAAGGGGGTGGGAATCATGCTTTGAAGGAGCAGGGGTGGGGGAGATAATATATGTTCCCATGCCTGCCCCCCAACCCCTTAACTATGGTTAAAGATTGGTTGTGCTTTGTTTGCACTGGTGATGAATTTGCTGTGGCTTACTTTGTATCCTGCGCAACACAATATGGGTATCATTATTTTTCCTCTTTCATCCACTTTTCTTTCTATAAAAGTAGTATTAAACCCAAGTACTATATATTCCAAATTTGCAAAAGCCTCTGGAGGTAGATAAGCCAATAATTATAATCCAAAGCTAACAGGCTGGCTCAGACTGTTTTCAAATCAAAGGGTCAATTTTGTGACAGATCCTCATGGCTAGATATCTGTAAAAAAATATGCTTGGTTTGCAAGCTTGCTATAACCATACACTTTGAGTTTCCAGTTCAGAATACACAGTTTGTAGGGAAATATATGGTGCGTATACAAATTTAGAAAACTGAGGCATGGCTACTTGCCAGAGCATTCCAAACTGAGAAGTCTATCACCTTCTAGGACAGCATTAAGGTGGCCAATTTGCACAAGTTACATGACTATGCAGGGAAGCACTGCACACACAGCAGGAAGTTCACTGAAACCTTTTCCTGTACCCACTCACATGGCTACACTTGAAAATTGTATTTCGTTTCAAAATTGCCTTGCCCATTCATTGTGTGCAAGCTGCTGTAGTAGAAAATTCAAGGATACCTTTGGCTGCACATTGCTCCATAAGATGGAAGGCAAGTCAGACACAACAGAATTTAGAATCTTAATTTCATGAAGTGTGTCCACAATTTTCCCTGAAGATTTAGTTTGTGTAGTTCCTGATAAACATAAGCACTGAAGTTACATATATTAGCAAGACATGTTTCCTTTTTCCTGTGGCAGCTTGCCAGCTAACTATTGCCCATGGCAATTCTACTATTGTTTTCATAAACCACAGGTTTATGTTGCACCTTTGGAAACAGCCAGTTGCCCCAGGACACAAATGAAGACAGAGTGAGACTGAGAGCTGGTGTTATTAAAAACGAATCCTTTAAAAACAATGGAAGTGTAATTTACACAAGGTAAATTGAAGAGCACATAAAACTTGGCTTAGGAATTCCAAAGAGCATCTTCAACAGCTGAAGATGCAAATACATTTTTAAAAATATTAAAAGTAAAAGGTCTTGCTGTGATATTAATAACTGGCCACAAGCACATCAGGGCTAAGAGAAGTTTGCTTCCACCTGTTGTGGAATGCTACATCTAGGAGCATTGTTGCGGCCAGCCCTGGAAGATGGGAGACAAGGTTGCTTGGCATACGCACATATGCCAGCACCCATGTTGGGGGGGGGAGGAGTTTAGTAGCCTTGGTTATACCCCTAAGGGACTCTCTGGGCCATTGTTCACATCTCCCTGACCCCCTTCTGTTTTAATATAGGTCTACCAGTTGTTTCATGGGACGCGGGTGGCGCTGTGGGTTAAACCACAGAGCCTAGGACTTGCTGATCAGAAGGTTCAAATCCGCATGACGGGGTGAGCTCCCATTGCTCGGTCCCTGCTCCTGCCAACCTAGCAGTTCGAAAGTACGTCAAAGTGCAAGTAGATAAATAGGTACCGCTCCGGCGGGAAGGTAAACAGCGTTTCCGTACGCTGCTCTGGTTCGCCAGAAGCGGCTTAGTCATGCTGGCCACATGACCTGTACGCTGGCTCCCTCGGCCAATAAAGCGAGATGAGTGCCGCAACTCCAGAGTCGGCCACGACTAGACCTAATGGTCAGGGGTCCCTTTACCCTTTATCTTTACCAGTTGTTTCAGGGCTGTGTAGGAATTTCTTGCTTGCCTGCACATTTGGAACAGCAGAGTTTTTTCTTTCTTTCTTTGCCTACTGGATTCAGAGAAGATTGGTGTTTCGGAGTAGGTGCTGTTCAATAGGTTGATGTGGTCAATATGATTTCATGGTGAAGCTGGCAGGGAAGTGTGGGGAAGGTTATGGTTAGCTAAGTAACAGGTGAGCACACCGCAGCACTGTCTGGGCTATGAGGCCCTTGGTCTGGATACAGAGCATTCTTAAGGCTTATGTGTGCACCTGCTCAGAGTTTTGAGGCCTGGGAAAGGAAATGCCTTGTCCTGTCCCTTAGAATGGGCAAGATTTGGCTCACCAAAAGCTGAAGTTAAGATCGCTTTCCCCACTCTTCTCATTTCCCCATGCATATGTAGTTTAAATAAAATGTGTTCATAGTTCAACCCATCACTTGTGTTTCACCTCTTAATTCCTGGATCCAGTCGCAAATACGCAGGATTCAGATATTGTAGAGAGCCACTTCTCTTCTGTCTTTTCAAAAAGAGATACTGAAGAGATAGGCATATCTTAACGGCACTTGCCAAGATAACAAATGAGGGGCACTGTCATAAATCTCTGTAGAGGAGATTTATAAAAGTTAAATGACAGATTAAGCTGAAAATCATTGATTCCTGCATAATTGGCATTTGGCAAAGAATTCGGGGTTTAGCCATCCTCTAACATCAGCCAAAGGACTTAAAGGTAGGTAGTAACTCACCATCTATAAATCTCTGGAAGTGTTGGTTGAAAACAAGGGTTCATTCAGTATAAGGCAAATTAGCTAATGTTCTGAGAAATATGTACTAGGAATGAATTTGGGAAGGGGAAACAATTAAAAACACACTGAAATATGAATGTATCAGTTGACAGATAACAACTGATACAGCATGCCTGGGTTCAGTATAACCAAATTCCCAAAAAGTATTTTATTTAAAAGATTTATCTTCTGTCAGTTACCAAACAGCAGCAGGAACAATAACAACAATTCAGTGCAATCTATAACAATTTGATAATGGTCAGAATGCTAATGATCTTGTCACATCCTATATCCATATACATATATAAAGCACCATATAAACAATACCATCAAAATGTAGCATTCATGACCAAATCAGTATATTCAAATGGGTTCATGCATCTGGAGGCTGGCATATGTACAGGCTTCTCAGTGAATATACATAGATGGAAACTAACAGACATTACATAGGAGTGAAATCATGATGACTGTTGTGGGCAGTAGATGGAAGTAGTGTTATCTTTGCTGGAAGATATGAAGACCACAACATGTGTGTGTGTGTGTGTGTGTACGTGCATGCGCTGTACTTCTACACCGAAGAAGTCAAATATTTATGCATCATTACAGTTCTTCTTGCAATTCTGCATTATGCCTGGCTTCAGAAAAGAGAGAACGAACAATAGCTTCAATAAGCCTGCTTTTAGAAATGTTCATGTTTGATCTTATGCTTTTTATTTTCAAAACTTACTCTTCATTACACATTTCTTGATCTCTACAGCATATTAGAAAATGAGCTTCCAATTCCTAAACAGGTGTTGTTATGAAGATTAATTTATCAATTACACATTACCACCAAACATTTTTTTTTTTTGTAAAGCAATGGTTGCTACGGAGAAAGGTATATTGTGAAGCTGTATTCTAATTTCATTTCACATTAATTCATATGTACCACAACAAAGAAGACAGGAAGGTGCCATATGGTACACAACTTAAGTGGCCTGACTAAGCAAGTGGTAACTTTTCGGACAGGCAAGGCAGACTAGGGGGCTGACTGTATCTAGCTAGTTAAGGCTGCAGTGATTCTAAATAATCCTAGCACCAACATATATAGCACTGCACACACCACACACATTGTTTACAAACTTTTACTCAGAATAGTCCTATTGAAATGAATGATCATGACTAAGTTAGGATCATTAATTTCAATGGGTCTTTTTGAATGAAAGCAAGTTGAATACCACCCTTTGTATTTACCAAGAGCCTTCCTATCCAGAGGTACTCAAAGATGCCTTCAAAAAGTCTTCACATAACACAAACTGATTAAGGAGGTTGACAGGTTCTTTCAGGAATGAATTTCATCATATCGGTGTGACAAGGCAGAAAACTCTCCTTAACCTCAACAACTTCACTGTGCAGCATATAGAACGCAGAACAGGAGATTCCCAACAGATATCACACAGCAGGGATAAATGATGGAGGAATGCATTCCCAAAGGTTCTGTGAACCACTTTTAGTACAAATATATTTGTGGGAAACATGACTCTGATCCAGGCCATTTTGGGCTTTAAAGTTAAGCACTAGTGGGGTAAAATTGGGCTCGGGAGTACTATATAGGCAAGTATTTCAGATGAACTAAATATGGTATTGTATTCTCTCTGAATTCCACCACTGTTAGAAGGCTCACTACAAGAATACTGCATTAACCTTGAACTTCCAAGTCATTTTCTAAAGATAGCTCCATGCAGATTGCAACACAGTGGTCTAAACAGGAGATCCCCAGAACATGGAGGATGGGTGTCAAAGAGAAATGGCTATAATTGTTGATTCCCTAACTCAAGCTGACAGGCAAAGTTGTACTGCTTCAGGATTTTGGGGCATGCTGAGAAATACTAGTGAACGGTCTCTTTGTTGGGGAGGGGCTGGGACACAGGCAAGGGCCTATTCAGAGACACAGCAGCAGAACACCAGATCTTTAGGGAAATCAACTTCTGCTACTCACCGCAGAACAGAGTTGAAATACATGATGATCTGATAAATGTGGAGAACAGAAGGAACCCTGTCCATCTGAGTTTGAAGTATGATGAATGAAAGGGCAAGGGGGCAGAGGCAGAAAAAACAACAGCTAAATATCATCTCCATTTCCAGGAGCCAAATAAATGGCCTCATTCACAACCAGGCTTTGCAGATGAAAATAGCATAAGGAAAGCCATGCATACTTACAAATTATAAAGCATATCAGCCATGTTGCTGCGGTAGTACAAGGCATTCCTATAGGCGCTTTCAGCTTCAGAAATCTTGCTCTGACTCTTCAGAACATTTCCAAGGTTACCCCATGCTGCCAAGAGGGAAAAAAAGCAGTATTCAGAGAGAGAGACAATCCAATTATATGGAATGTAGTACCTGAAGATCAAGAAGGACCTCAGGGAGAAAAACCCATACAATTCTCTCTTTTCTTTTCTCCAACCTGGAGCAGCAGAAGAAAACATCCTCCTCTTTTTATTATACTGCATTGTTTCTTCTATTAGCAACAACAATATGCATGCTCTACAGTTTAATCCCCAGAGTGCATATATATTGGAAAAAAGTCATCTGTTGGTAGGATCAGGAGCAACACTGGAATGCTGAAAGTTGAGAGGAAACAAACAAGTGAGGCACAGCAATTGAATCATGCAGCCTGCACAGGCCTCGGATAACAAAAGAGGAAATTCCCCTTGAGATAGCACACTTCAAGAGCATCAGCTTTGTAGCATGGGCACTTTTATACTGTTTTATTTATAAATGACTTCTATTCAGAAAAACTCACCTTCAGAGGCAGGACATAAACAATCAGGATTTCAATGGGACATAAAAGCAATTACCGTATCATAGGTATGCTTGAAATCAATAGACAAGTAGATGGATCAGGGAGCATTACCATGTGAACAACTGAAGTACACTGGTATGCAAGAATAGACAAATGAAACATAGATTTGTGAACAAGTGAGTAGATGTCCCTACAACATTTGTGTTACGGTGTGAAACGGGAAAGTTCAAGCTATCGGATCTGGGCAACAGAAAACAAGAACATTATTGATTCTGCCCAAGTCACTAGGAAAGAAAGAAATAGAAGATGGAGGGAGGGGAATTATAGGGATATCCATGGCTTGGTCAAAACCAAGGGATTCTCCTTTGCAGAATGCAATATTCTCTGCATCATTTTCCTATATATTTTTAGACTGACTCTCAACATTCTGTGTAGCTTCATATACTGTAGTTCAGCTCCAACATTTATATCTTCCAAATCAGGCAGGTGCATCAATGTCTTAAGAGCACTAGGCTAGTAACTGGCTGGCAGAGGCGGTATTAAATAATGGACAATAGATACACTCACATGTATCACAAACATAATAATAATAAAAAATAAATAACTAAATAAATTATATCCCGCCCTCCCCGGCCAGGGCCAGGCTCAGGGCGGCTACAACCAAATATAAATTACAATAAAATGTAATGGGGGCAGTAAATTAAAATACGACTTAAAATACAGCTTAAAATACAGTTTAAAATGCAGTCTCATTTTAGTAGTAGCCCATAAATCAAGACCATAAAGGGAGGAAACACCAGGTATTCACCCAAGCCAGCTATCCATGCTGGTCCTACATGGGCGAGCAAAAAAGCCAAGGGAAAATTTATATAGCAAATCCCATATAAGGGGTCAGAGCGAGTCCAAGCCGAAGGCCAGGCAGAACAGCTCCATCTTGCAGGTCCTGCGGAAAGATGTCAAATCCTGCAGGGCCCTGGTCTCTTGTGACAGAGCATTCCACCAAGTCGGGGCCAGTGCTGAAAAGGCCCTGGCCCTAGTTGAGACCAATCTAAGCTCCTTGAGGCTCGGGACCTCCAAAGTGTTGTTATTTAGGGACCTTAAGGTCCTCCGCGGGGCATACTAGAAGAGGCGGTCCCATAGGCGCGAGGGTCCTAAGCCACATAGGGCTTTAAAGGTCAAAACCAGCACCTTAAACCTGACCCTCTACTCCACCGGGAGCCAGTGCAGTTGGTAAAGCACTTGATGAATGTGATCCCGAGGCAAGGACCCTGTAAGGGGTCCTTTACTTTGCTTTGCAAAGTAAAATTGCTAAGATGCTAGTATGGGACAAGCTTCTTTAGACCACAGAAGTATTTCATATTTCCTTTCATTAGTGCATTTAAATGAAAAAGAAAGACTTCACAACCAAAACTACATGGGAAAGAGTGCTTCTTATAATACCATATACACAATAAAGTTAAACAAACACAACTGCAGCATTATCTAAAATGTTTAAGATTGAAAGAACAGCACGATTGGCTTCAAATACCTGAAGGGGGATTTGGTCTTCTGTTTCGTGAATGGCAGGCCCTTGTGACAAGTGTCAGGCTGTTTTTGAAACTTACATTTTCCACCACTGTTTCCAATACAGCCTGGGAATCTGCTGTTGAAAGAGGGAAATCCCACTGGCCATAAGCAACGCCTTGGGCTTGCCTAAGGTAGCTGTTTGGATCCCAGGCAAAAAGGTGTATGAACAACAATAGATTTCTGTCAACGTACACATCTCAGAGTACTCAAAACACTCAATAAATGTACTTTTGAAATATTTAGATGTGGAGAAAACGTGGAGATAGCCACTTAAATGTCAGTTTCAATCTATTGGAGGAAATGAATCCCCTCCCTCATTTTATCTGAATGGCTTTTCAGAAAATGGGACATGGCAATAACGTCCAAATTAGCACATTATGTTTGGGCAAGAGAATATGTGATGTATTGAAAAATGAACACTTTTTATGTCTCTTTGGAATGAGTAATTTGGCAACGTTGTGAGACCTTATTCATTGCTTTTGCTAAATAGTGGATTGTAATATTTGATTGTAAGTGAGAAACATCAAATCTGGCAGGCCCAGACATGTGAAATAGTAGCTTTCACAATATGTACTCAACAAGTGGCCAAAACTAAATTACAGTCAATGGGTTCCAAATCTAAGTCAAAATGTACAATGAGGATGAGAAGGAGGATAGGGAACCTGTGGCCTTCCAGATGTTGCTCCCATTTTTCATCACCTCTAGACAGCAATGGGAATGGGTCTGGAAACTGGAATCCAACAGCATCTGAAGAGCAATAGGCTCCCCACTCGCTGGATTACAGGAATGGGAGCTATGTGTGTACCTAATACACATTGGAAAACAAACGTTAAAAAAAATATATGTAACGAGCATTGTTGGATTTTGTTAAGTTGTGGGTGAACATATCAGACAACACAGCGATTCTTCAAACAGCTCTTATTTATTCAGAGGCCAGAACAGAACTGAACTGAAGGATTCAGTCTGCCTGCTTATATAGAGCTCCAGTACAACGTAACTGTAACAATTTTCTAAAACTATCCAATCACTGAATGTCACTTTCGATTATAATGCATAACTACAGTATCCCCCTGCTGACCCAGGGTGAGAACTTCAGTACATAACAGATTTCCTCTGTAATGCTCTATATACTCCTATTTCACAAACACACTTGGAGTTGAGAAATGGAATACTGGGTGGAGTTGAATTACGACTGGGCAGGTACTTGTCCCTGTGTTACAGATGCATTTACCCTAAACAGGGACAAACACAACAAATGCCCAATCTGGATGACTGCCTACAGAAGACACTTCCAAAGGTGCTAGGCTAATTAAACCACAGTATCAGATTCTAAGTTTTCTTTATTTAATGGAAGGAAATGCATAGTAAGCAAGACAAGCTCTAAAACGTTTAGGTCTTGGTGATATATTGTTATTAATGTGTGCTTTAGGGTTAGAATATTGCTGGGTTTTATTCCTTATGTTCTTCCTATATCACTCAGCACTAACACTATGGTTTCCATAAATTAGCAAGTTTAAAATAATACAAATACCTCTGTGACAAAGCAAATTTCCTCTTTAAAATACTTCCATTTATGAAAACATGCCTCCAGCATTAGAGAACAGTTTTGGCTCTTGTTTCATATTCACTGACCATCTAAAGGCTGGAACAGTTCAATCCTTTCTCTTTAAAATTCTTTGTTTCCATTGTTTGCAGAAGCTGTCTTTACTGCCTTGGCTCCTTTTCAATTCATTTTTGTTCAGAGTGAACACTTAGCTGCAGCATAGTTACTTCAAAATTGACTTCATACATAACCATGAAACACTGTGGTATATTAAAGGAAAACTGACAAAATTGATTTCAGAACAAATGTCAGTAGACCTAGTTCAGAGGTCACGGTGAAATCGTGAGCTTCAAGCTTATGGATCCTTTCCTTCTCATGCAAACTCTGTTCTCTCCTCTATCTCTTTTCTAGTGTGAGCAAATCACAGTTTTCCAAACTGTCCAAACTGGGCAAACAATGGTTTTGCAGAAACAACAATTTGTTTCCAATCCAAACTTGGAAACTCAACTCAAACCATAGTTTCCAATTATGATTTGAAAGCAAAGCATATGCTCCTTTTATGTCTCCCACCACCACCTCCAGCACAAAATGGTTTGTGCACCAAGTCTGGACCAGGCTTTTGTCCAAATTCTGAAGATAATCATGGCAAGTCACCTATGGCCTGATTGCCGCATTACAATGGTTAGGAGGGCACTTCCACTGCCATTGTTTCTTGGTTACAACCAACTCTAGCCAACCCATGTTTAAAAAACAAAATGGTTTATTTATTTATTAAAATTTATATACTGATTGATTTCAAAAGATTATCAGCAAAAAATTATAAACAGTTAAAAGGAACTACTTGAAACATTCGAAAACTAGGCAAAATCAGCGCTAAGTTCAAAAACAGATTAAAACACACACCAACATTCTATATAGCTGATAACACTGATGTTAAAAAAAAGAAGTAAAGGACCCCTGACAGTTAAGTCCAGTTGCAGATGACTCTGGGGTTACAGTGCTCATCTCGCTTTACAGGCCAAGGGAGCCAGCGTTTGTCCGCAGAAAATTTTTCCGGGTCATGTGGCCAGCACGACTAAGCCACTTCTGGCAAAACCAGAACAGCACACGGAAACGCCATTTACCTTCCCATCGGAGGGGTACTTATTTATCTACTTGCACTTTTTGGGGTGCTTTCAAACTGCTAGGTTGGCAGGAGCTGGGACCGAGCAATGGGAGCTCACCCCGTCGCAGGGATTCGAACCACCAACCTTCTGATCGGCAAGCCCAAGAGGCTCAGTGGTGTAGACCACAGTGCCATCCGCATTCCCTAACACTGATGTTATTTTACCCTGAATCTTCTAATGACATTTCCCAGTGACTTCATATATGCAGCACTGGGAACAAGATGGAACCCTGTGGCTACCTATTATACAGATATCTA